GAGATCCGGGGCGCATCTGGCTTGGCGGGAAGGCATTGGGATTCTCGTCCAAGAGATCCTCGAGGTAAGCACTGGGAGCTCTTTGTCCGTTCCCAGGCGCCGCAGACAAGTTGACCGAGCTGGTGCTAAAGTCGCGCCTTGCGCCGTACGAAGGGGATTCCGGAGGCGTAGATTCCCTCAAGTTGTTGCGGCTTCCATACTGGCCTCGGGATTCGGGGCGGAGGTTCGTCAAACTTATTGAGTGACCGTGAGCAGGACTGGGAGACGAGGTGGCAGCGGCGTAGAATCCAGAAGGAAGGAAACGAGAGTCACGGTTGGTGGCCGAGTTATTGTTATTGTTGTTGCTATTGCCGCCGCCAGCTGCGGTGGGCGAGAAGAAGAGGTTCGACTGGCTCGGCGTCGCAGAGGGGATGGGGCCGCGCTGCGTTCTACGCACACCACGTCCTCCATTGGGAACGAGAGAAGGAGTGGATTCGCGGTCGGTATACTTGTAGAATTGCGCTGGAGGGGCAGGGAAGCTCTGCTTGTCGTTGGCGACATACTGAGCATTGGCAGCGCGGGCAACGGAGCGGTGCAGCAGACAAGCGATGATGCCGCGCCAGATCAGAATGCCGAGGCCAAAGGCACCAAGAATGGAGCCCACGGCAATGAAGACGGTTCCTTGAGGAGCACTCGAGCGGTGCATATAAGGAGCGTTGTTGGTGGGGGGTACACTGGCCGGCGGGTATGTCGTCACAATGGGCTGGTTTGTAAGGGACGGTAGACCCGTGAGGACCGCGCCAGTGGAATCGGAGGTGCCGGTGATTCTAGGGGCACTGATGCTCGCTTCCGTTGTGGCAACGGCGCCGGTGTTGGTGATGACGGCGGTTGCCGCGTTGGTGCGCGAAGGCTGCGCAGCCGAGGTGGTGGCATCGTCTGTAGAAGCTGCCTGCGAAGCACTGGTCTGGGCATTTCCTCCACTGCTACTATCTTGCGCGAGACCCGTGGCAGAGAAGAGAGACAAGGCGGCAAAGGTGGACAGGAGAAGCGAGCGCTTCAGCGAATGGCGTGACGAAATCATGATCGGTCGATTCAGTTACGTCCGAGGGGGTCCGGTGTTTACGGTGGGATGCGATGCTCCAAACTCAGGGTGATGCAGTCGTCGGTCACTTCTAGTCTAGACACTCTATGCTGTTCGGTTGTCGAATGGATGAAAGAAGGTCGATGACGGCGATTTTGTCGGTCGCCGTGGATAGAAAACGGGGTTGGGTCGTCGTTGTGGTGTCCTTCCGGATGGGGCGGTTCGGTTCATTCAGCTGGCGCAGGCTGAGTGCGATGAATTCGGGAGAATCGAACGAAAGTATCGAGACAGTTGAGGATGCAGACTGAACAGGCAAAGCAATATGAAAGAAGGAAAGGTCCCGCTGGCTAAAACATTGCTGGTGCCGGCTGATCGTTTGCTGGGTGGGCGGCTTCCGAGGTTTGTCGTGAGGGAGTCAGTTAGGGAGGAAGGGTTGGAGGGAGCAGGAGAGGGACGGGAGGGATGAGGGTGCGTGATGGGGAAGAGAAAGGGAATGGATGGCGAAGGCGGGCCCCTGGTCAGCAGGGAACGGGCCTGGGGAAAAAAAGGAGGAAGGGTCCTTGCCTGCTCTGGAGGAACCTGCTGAGAGCAAGCACAACAGGCGACAGTCTACAGCATCCATTTCGTGTTAGCGGACTGGGCGGTTCTCGTCCCTGCCCTTGGGGCCTGGGCTGTGGCGCGGCGCATTTCCAATGGCTGCACCTGAAAGTTCTGACGTGCTGCTGTGTCGGGGTCTGTTTATTTTTGTGCATTTGGGCGGCATTTCCTGGGAATGCGAGAGGGAGAGAGACATGCAGACACAGTGCTGCCAGCTCATGGAAGCCAGGTTTTTGACCTGCAGGAGACGCGCAAGTCTGGGGAAACAGGCACGGTGTGCCATCTATACACACTATGCCGCAGGACTGTACACAAGTCGCCCTCCATGATGATGATGTGCTTCCGCCTTCTTTCGTATGCCCACACGCTCTCGTATTGAAAACTGAGGTGTCCAACAGGCGAGGGTTGATCACACTAATCAGCATTTCCAGGCTTCCAGCATGCGCTACAGTGGCTGCAGGTCGCAACCATCATCAACACGAGCCATCCATCCGGGGTAAGCGTGTAAGCGTACCTGGCAGATGCCCACCCATTTACCCAATATTAGCCAAAGATCATCGGAACTCGTTGGAAAAGAATATGGGCCGTGAAGTGATGGCGAGCCTCGCTGTGGAATGCGAATGATGCCCCATTCCTCTCCACCAGAGTCCCGGTGGTCCCCTATCTTTGCTGCTTCGCTTCATCTTCGCGTTCGTCAGACCTCCAGTGCTCCAGTAGTTTGAAATTCATGCCGGATGCTTCAGACTAAGGCAAGCTCATGAATGGGCGCGGCGGGTATCAGACCCGTCTCTGATCATAATGGGCTGCTATTATGCATGCGCAGGGCAGTGCACAGAAGTGCTGATGCAAGGCACCACCAGACTACCAGTCCAGACTCCAGCGCAGCGCCCACCTTACCTCCGGCGTTTGAGCGCCGTTGATCGATCGTTTGCTTTTCCTGAGGTGGGAGAGGAAATTGCAACGCCAGAAGACCAACGCCCGACAGCGGCAGAGTGGGTAGAAATACAGAAGAAAACCGTGGAGGAGGAGACCCCCTGCCATTCGTCCACCTCGGTCCCTGAGAGTTTCATTGTCCCCTCATTCCGGTTGCTCTGGGTCACCCTCCCCAGGACCCACCTTGCTCGCAAACGCTGCGCGGCCTCACCCAAAGTTCTCACCGAGCGCACAGACTGACAACGTTCTCACCTGGACTTGTATGTCAGACACCGAGACCACCCTTCATCCTACACCGAAAACTTTTTTCTCCCAGCTCTCGGCCCCGCCACATACGCAGGGTGACTAAACTCAGGAAAACGTCAACGCAACAGCCTTGTCCAGCCTCGCAGACGCCAGTACTCCTCCACTCGAAGACTACGACGACCACCTATACCCGATTGCCCGCACGAGACCGACACCATGGGTGTCCAGAAGAAGACCAGAAAGTTTGGTGAAGTACGTCCGCCAGTCCCTACTCTGCGCCAAACCTTCCGCGCATCGCAAAGAAAATATCGGAATCCTTATCGATAAGAACTTTTTTGGTTCACCGAGCGAAAGTTCACGATGATTGCGATCCCTACAATCGGACGTTGGAAGCTTGACGTCTCTCTGACACTGTCACTTGCAAACAAGTTTGCTAACTATGTACGCTCCTACTAGGTCAAGCGAGTCATCGGCAAGAACGATGCCCGGCGCAAGGAGAACCTGAAGAAGGCGGAAGAGGCTGAGCAGAAGGCGAAGCGTGAAAGAGGCGGTCCGGATGGCGAGACAATCGTCAGGGAGATTCCCCAGGTCCCCTCCCAGATGTTCTTTGAGAGCAACTCAAGTCTTGTGCCTCCCTATGGCGTCCTCGTCGATACCTCATGTAAGGCCCCGTCGCCCCTATTCTACCTCTGAATCGCAGTTGCTAACCGTACTCCAGTCTTCTCCCGGTACGACAAGCCTGCCCGAACGTATAACTCTCGCCCTCGTCGACTAACCTACTCCTAGTACAGTTCAGATGAAGTTGCCAGTGATAGAAACCATGATGGACTGTCTCTACGGTAGGTTACGGCACCGCACGAATTCTGTTGGCACCAACTGACGTCCGAGCCAGCTACCTGTCACCCCATCGTGACCGACTGTGTCATGGCCGAGTTGGAAAAGCTTGGTCCCAAGTTCCGCCTTGCTCTTAGAGTAGCGCGCGACCCCCGTTTCGAACGACACAAGTGCACACACAAAGGAGTAAGGTCCACTGCGAGCCCCATCATGATTTTCCTTTGCTAATTACGTTTTGCCTCAGGTGTATGCCGATGACTGCCTCGTAAGGCTCCGAACTCTACATCATCACATGATTGTATCGAAATACTGATCAACATTTCACAGGTGTCCAAGGTATCTAAAGACAGAGTGTACCTCGTCGCAACCAACGACAAGGGTCTTGTGTCCAGGGTATGTTCAACCTCGCCCGGAAGTCAACGACGATGCTGACATCAATCTCTCTAGCTCCGTCGCATACCCGGTGTTCCTATCATGAAGTGTGGACGTGGAAAGTACACCATCGAGAGATTGCCCGATGCCCCGATTTAAGCTTGGATCAACGATGTAGGAGGAATATCACGATCACTCCAATAGCGCGGGAGAGAACATTGAGTTGCTTGAACGGTACGACAATTGGACTGTCAAGCTGAAAAAGGGCTTGAGTGCCGTGCTAGCTCAATCTCCCGACAAGGAAAGGCGATATAAAAACCGTGGAAATCGAGAAGATCGCCGCATCGAGTGGCGCGCTGAGCCCTGGAAATGGAGCACGGCAAGGGAGAAGTAAAAGCATATCTGTGTTCTGGTTTTTGTTGGCATTTTCCCTCAAAAGGTCGGGTCGTGATGCAATTCGACCCAGCCATTGTGTATCGTGGATTGGCACTTTGTAATTATTGGTATGGAACCTTGGTGGTCGTCAAAATAGTCGGGGTTAACCAAGCCGTATCCCCGAGACTGGCCGACGGATGGAGCCGTCAGCTCATAGTTGCCTAGTAGGTGGTTTTTGGCCGCTTTTTTGAATCAAGAGAATGACCCAAACGTGACTTGCATCCTGCTGCATTCCCAAACGGGGTTTCCTTTCAGACGCACACGCAATTACACGCTGACACAGGACGACAAACAACATTAGCGGTTGTCAAAGGAGAAACAAAACCCGGCTCCGGAACTGACGTCAAATAAAGTTAGACCTCCGGATCTGAATACGGACGGCATCACCCCCCTTCTTAAGCCCCACCCCCGTCATTCCCGTCACACCCACTCACATGCGGCGTCGGGCACCGCATCGGACACGCCTTACACTCTCTAATCGTCCGGTCTCCGCGAATCGCCCAAGGGGTATCCGTAAGCTCCAATGAATCCGGACCACGTAACCCCACCCGCCGGACCAAGCACCGGCGGCAGCAACCCCTCTTCCACTTCCAACTCTTCCGCCCCCGGCCCCGGACCTTCGTCCGCCTACCATTCGGCATCAGCATCAGCAGCAGCCGCCGCAAAACGCTCCCGCGTCCTCCTCTCCTGTGGCCCCTGCCGCGCGTCCAAGCTGAAATGCGACCGCTCCGAGCCGTGCGGCCAGTGTCTGAAGAAGTCCCGCCCGGAAGGCTGCGTCTACGCGCCGAAACCCGAGAAGCAGAAGCCCGCCAAGGGCATGGCGGCGCGGCTCAAGAGGCTGGAGGGTATGGTGAGGACGATGATGGATGAGGGAGGAGGTGTCGCGGGAGCGGGACCAGGAGGAGGAGGACCGCAGACTACTGGTGCTGCTGTCGACGCCGTGCAGGAGGAGGAGAAGGGCATCGCGCAGCCTGGGGGTCAGCTTGTTCAGGGGGGTAGGGCGAGCACGTATGTTGGGGCTACGCATTTCATGGCTATTCTTGAGGATGTGAGTTGTTCCCTTCCCCCGCTGTAATGCTCGATGCAAGATGTGAAGGAAATACGAACTGGATGAGATATTGACTGAGAGGGTTTGGCAGATTGAGGATATGAAGAGCTACTTTGAGGAGCCGGAGACCGACTACGACGAGAGCCCTGAACCGTCAGACGAGATCGAGGCCCCTGATCTCATGCTCTTCTCGAGGAACATGCCTCGCAGCAGAGAGGACCTGTTGAAGCTGCTCCCTGAGCAAAAGATTGTCGACAGACTCATCATGAGGTACTTTTCCTCCCGTAGTCCATCACAGCGTAAGACACCACGGCTCGGCTCTCGCGATCTTCACCCCATGGCTTCGTATGTATTGACAAGGCGGCAGATATCGTTCACAGACCAACTTTTGAAAAACAAGTGAGTCTCCAATCTCCTGTCCGCCGTCTCCCCCCTTCATACCCTTACTGCCAACAATCTTGCCAACAACTCCCATCCAGTACGCCCGCTTCTGGACCGACCCGTCCAGCACCGACCTCCACTGGCTCGCCCTCCTCTTCATGGTCATGTCCCTCGGCGTCTTCTACTCGACCTTCATGGCACCCCACGAGCTCTCGGTCGACTCCCCGCAGCCGCCCATGGACCGCTTCAAGCTCTTTCGCGCCGCCGCCGCCTGCTGCCTCGTCTGGGGCAGGTACACCCACCCGACCATCGCCACCATCCCGCCCTTCATCCTCTACGTCGAGGCCGAGTTCATCATCTCCCGCGCCGCCCAGATGAACTGCTACGTCCTCTCCTCCGTCTGCCTCCGCCTCCTCCTCAAGATGGGCCTCCACCGCGACCCGGACCGCCTCCTCGCCGCGGGAACCGTCATCTCCCCCTACGAGGGCGAGATGCGCCGCCGCATGTGGAACATGGCCGTCCAGCTCGACCTCCTCGTCTCCTTCCACATGGGCCTCCCCAGCATGCTCAACGGCATCGACGCCGACTGCAGCCTCCCGCGCAACCTCATCGACGAGGACTTTGACGAGGACACCCTAGTGCTCCCGCCGGCCCGACCCGCGACGGACTACACCGAGATGACCTACCCCATCAACAAGTCCGCCATGATGCTCGTCTTCGGCCAGGTCGCGCGGCAGTCCCACCTTCTCACCCCGCCGCCCTACGCCGAGGTAATGCGCCTCGACGACCTCCTCAACACCTCGTGGCGCGCCGTGCCGCAGTTCATGATGGTCAAACCCCTACAGGAGTGCGTCACCACCCCGCCCATGCAAATCATCCAGCGCTTCGGCCTCGCCTCGCTCTACAACAAGAGCCGCTGCGTCCTCCACCGCCGCTTCCTCCTCGACCCCGCGCCGCGCCGCGAGCACGACTACTCCCGCCGGCAGTGCCTCGAGGGCGCCGTCGTCCTCCTCGACTTCCAAAACACGATATGGCACGCCTGCCAGCCGGGCAACATGCTCAGCCAGAACGGCTGGTTCGTCTCCTCGCTCGCCGTGCACGACTTCCTCCTGGCCGCCACCATCCTATACCTCGCCATCGGACACGAACCGTTCTGGGGTGGCGTGGACGGCAAGACCGGCGCGGCGACGACGACGACGACTTCGCCCGGGTGGATGGCGGAGATGAATCCCCCGCCGACGAGGGCGTACCTCCTGCACCTCCTGCAGAGGTCGTATTCCGTCTGGATCGCCATCGCCGGCGGCGTGCCCGAGGTGAGGAAGACGGCGGGTATCCTGGAAACGATGCTGAACAAGCTGGGGTCGCCGCCGAACTCTCCGCCAGAGAACGGGGGCGCAAAGGTGTCGTCGGCATCGGGGCTTCGCCAGAGTGACGGGCCGGAATCGGCTGCTCGATCCGCCCAAGACGACCAACAGCTCCTCGACGGTCTTTCAATCAGTGGTACGGCCGTGAAGATAGCCCCTTTTTGTGATATACCTGCCAACGATCTGACAGACTCGACATCGTTCCCTACGACTACGACGAATCGCTTCCAGCCCTTTGAGTTTGTCACGTCGGGCCTCGGGCCAAGTGAACCTGGGCTCGACCGTGGATGGGCGGCGGTTGGCAATGAAGAGATGGACTGGGTATGTTTCACGCACTCACCAAGCAAGCAAAGCCGTACAATCTGACTGACATCTGCAGCGATACTTTGACAACATTATGGCTCAGCCTCACAATGACCCAGTCGGTCTCGAGTCACTGGACGCGTCCCAGCCGTGGTTTGAACGGACACTGGGACCGGACGATTTTGATTTCTCTACGTCTGGTGCATGGGATCCAAGCTTGGGATAATCACGTTGAGGTCACGGCCTACCGCGTTCAAGCTGATGAGCACAGCGAGCTCCCAGGCCTACATATCAAAAGACTTGGCAGCTGAACGGAGCTGATCTGGGGCACACAAGCATCGTACTCGCGCTCGGCCGACCCAGAAGGGGTACATGGGGCTGCGGCTCCGCGAGCTCCTCCAAAAGAAGCTCCTCCTCTTGCACATAAAGCCCCTCCACCAATACCTCCGGCCCTAGTACAGTAACTGGCTCGCTTAGGTGCCAACTGGGCCTCGTGAAGTTTTCTCTCCTCAACACGCGATATCGGTGCCCACAAGCACGATGGGCCCGTGGGGGATAGCAGTCTATTGCCCTGATGGATCTGGCTAGCTGGCAGGGATGTCAAAAAAAGGTCGGCTCAGGTGACTTGAAAATAGACGCGAGGTCGGCGTTGGACAGCAATTCACAATAGACCCCGGATTTTCCTTCTCCTTCGGGTCCGCGCCAATATCTAAACATCTGGCTGGACCGATGGTGTGCGATGAGCGGCCGTCCTCCGGGGAATTGGACCCTGCCAGCTCGATGAGGGGTTCTCTCGGCGGTCGACACACAGTGAATACTATAACGTAAATTTGGTGGGCCGGTGGAAGTGGCCGGCGGCGACGTGCGTATGGAATCCCAACAATGTCGTCTTCGACAACGGCAAGCCATCTAGGGCGTGTTTCGGTCCTACATGTGTACGTCTCGCCGGCATCGTCTCCATACACTCTTCGTTCAAGGGCGCGAAGTTGCCGACGAGGGAGCTGGCGCGCAACGGTGCCCTACGAGGCATGGACCAACTTCCCCGCAAAACCCGCAGATTTGACGGCAACGAAGCGGGGGCTGTTTGCATTAGTAGCAGTAGGTATCTGGAGGCTGGAGCAGCTGGGGGACCAGTGGCGCTTGTCCCTTGAGCTGAGCTCGCTCTCATGCTGGATGGCTGCTTCTTTTCTCGGCTCTTTGTGGTGTGTTACGCAAAAAGCCGAGTTCCTTTGGCGACGGCCAGACCGCACGCAGTAACAAGCTTCTTGGGCGCGTAAATTTGGAGATTTGCAGGCTCCTCCGCGGAGATGCCCACTTCGGAGAGGGAGGGGAAACGTTGGCTTATGAGCAGTACGGAACGCCAGTTGGTTCGCTTGATGACGGCATGGTGGTCGTCTGGGACGTTTGCTTGGCTCCATTTGTACGTAATGAGGAAAATGCGGTGCTAGCAAGGTCGGCATTGCGCGATTCCTGGGTCGTCATTGGCGCATTCTTGCTCGTGCTTGACCTGTCGTCTCAGCTCTTTGTCAATCAGATTACGGATACTGGCGCCTCCCGAGTTCCGATAGCTAGATTGAGGTTGACTGCTCTTTTGTTGTTGCCCGCCAGCCTATTGTCTCGCCATGTCCGGTGGCTCGTTGCCGGACCGCATTCAGAAGGGAGTTGAGCTTCGTCCCAAGGCACTGGATCCGATCGTTGATGACGGAAGTTCTAGTAGACAACGGTCACAAATGCTGCACGTCTAGACTTTCAGCAGAAGCAGGTTCCGCCTCAAAGTCCGCGTTAGCCTTCAGGGATACCCCGCTGGGTTGCGTTTGAATCCTGCGGCTTGGCCTAGGCCATTCTTCGGTTTTTGAGGGTGTCTACTCACGTCCAATGTTATCAGTCGGAACGTCATCGGAACCGGAATTCTGTGGACTTGAATGTGAGCACACGGGCGACAGCGCCTTTCCCTTGATCCTTTCCCTCCACGCCCGTCATAGTCCATATCGCATCATACAACAGCATAATTGGCTGATAACAACGACGCTCCCATGACCAATGGCATTACCAGCGTCAGGCTCGAACAAATATGAATTAGACGTGGGTGCGCCTCCGCGAAGGCGGTTACTTGACGCTCCTGCAGCCGACGTGCATGAAGGGCCCTCAAAGACAAAATGGGCGGCGTTGTGATGCGGTGCTAGGTCGAACCCGGGTGATGCAGCAAGCGCTGTAACCGGTGGGAGCGTGGCACGGGTAGCTCAGCGAAGAGGCTAATCTCAGACCTGCAGAGAGTGAGGCTAGAGGCTAGAGCCCAGATGCTAGTGTCTGCATGTGTGGTGGGTGGGAGATTCTGGATGGTGTCTGGGTGTGCAGTACAATTTGCCCATCATGGCGTAGAATTGCGATATTCGATGATTCTTCTGCCTGGGAGCTAGCAGTGGGACCCAGCCATCCGGGCCAGGGGGGCCATGCTGTACTCCGTACGTAGAAGGGGACTCTGAGAGATACCGCGAGAACCTGGTCGAGCATCGTGGACAGACGTACCTATGTGTACGAAGTAAGGCCATGCCCATTTGGTATCGGTAGTGGCATGGTCCGGAGGCTCGAGCTTTGGACGTAATAACGAAGCGGTGGGCTCTGTGATGGTGGACGATGCAGATTTCTTTGGATCACGTTTGCGAGTCCTGTGGAGCTCTGAGCCAGAAAAAGTTTGCACAGGGTTCGGAGAGTATTGTGACATCGGGATTGACTCCGATCACCAACCTGACGACGCGCCAGTCGACAGTATGTGGAGACATTGATTTGCGCCGGGGGCTGACCGGCGCAGTAGTGCTTAAAATCAAGGACCCCGTGATGGGCGACCGTGCTCGTAATAGGGCCCGTGAACCGACAAAGTCGGACTCATCAAGGTGCCCTTATCTGATGCCATGGTCCGAGCCGGGCAAGCATCTGTGTCCGTCCAGATAGGCATGAGGGACCGGTATGGAGGGAGGCGCAGACACCCCGATATCCATGGGCGGATGTCTCGGTCTGATGTGATGATGTGATGGCAGGTCAAGCCCGTCAGGGTACCTAGGTAGGTTCGTGTTTGACAGGCAGTGAGCGTACGGAGTGGACTGTAGTCGGTAAGCATATCCGAGGGCCACATTGATACTTGAATATGGCATTGGTGCAAAACGTACGTACGACGTACGATGTACGACTACCTCCCTATGGCTTGGGTAGCATGGAGGGATGATAAGATGCCCCAAAGGTTGTAAGTAACTTGTAAGGTATTGTACCCATGTCGTCTCTACCGTGACCGCTCTTGATGTCCTTGACGCCTTGGGAGACAATGGAATGGCGGCATTACAGGGCTTGGTTGCATAGGTTTCCGCCGTGAGTGACTGCGGCGTGGGTGCTTTCTAGGTTAGACTGAGAAGGGTAATAAAGTTGCCAAAGATAAGGAAAATTTTTCTGAAGCCGCAGCATTGCGCAAGAAAAAAAAAAGACTGGGGACAGATGGTGAGAGGTCCGACTGTCTGAGGAGAAAAAAAAGTTGGAGGAGTTTCGCAGTAGGTAAGAGCAACTGTGTAAGCGAAACCCCGAGCCAACCGCGGCCATGCTCTTACATAATAAAGCCAACCTACTGTGCTAGGCTTCACGGGAAGAGAAAAATTGCTGCAAATGGGGCACTGGGGAGGCCCTAGTAATCTTTCTTCCAGGTCGTTCTCTTTCTCAGATTCTCTCCTCAGGTCCACTACGGATACATCAGCGCCTTCCAAGTTTTCTTTCCCGCTCATGAGACATGGACACAAAGACTTGCCTTGAGAGTTGAGACGGAATGGACTGAGGGCCTGCCCGCCGTAGTCCCGTTCCAGGGCCCGTCCAGGGCGGCCCCTCTTTTGGAGAATTGCTCCAGTACGGCTCCAGAAGTCCCCGTCTCGTTGATGCATCGCCCGATTCAGTGACCATGTCATCGATCCCGGCCTGCTACTGGTTGCGCTGTAGCAGGCGTGGTTCCGGTACACCCTGGAAAGTACAGACAACGGCGTAGCTTCTGGAAGTTGCTTGGTGAGGGACTGGAGTCGGCTACCTACTGTGTATGCAGTAGTGGAAAGAAAGAAGAGACACAAGTTTTGGTAGGTGGTGCTAGATGGAATGGGAAGGTAATGCGGTACACGTGCTCCCACCTCGACACCGTACCGGCTGAGGTAGCCGCGTATCTTTTCTCATGTATCCATACAACCTACCTACCTACCTACTACCTAGTAGGTACGGAGTATGGATACAGAGGTGTGTTTCCCCATCCCACTTAACTTCCCACCTCGCATCTTCCGCTTTTACACCACTTACCCTCTCATTACTCGATGGCCGTGGTAATGCTTTCCCGACTCTTCATCATCAGTGGTTAAGAGCAGAGTTCTCTCATTACTTAGTACTTACTTACTCGAACCACAACCCCCATATCGCACTCCTAGTGTTTCCATCTCATCTCATCCCAACTTGTCCTTGCGTTCTCGCAGTTCCGCGAGTACCTCCCCCCCCCCCTCTTCCCAGGCACGTTCTGGGATCCGGGCGTGCTTCCGGCCCCATGGATGATGGCTTGATGGCTGGGTGTGGTGTTTCCGCTCGATGGGGCCCCGTTGTTTGCGCTTGCATCAAGGTTCGAATGAGAAAACGCAACGTGCTCAACCTCGTGGCCGCCGGCGAAGATTCAATTATTAACAGAAAAGGGCCAACCGCAAGGTCCTGCCGCGCCTGGCCCTGGCCACCGAAATCACTCCAGTAAAAATACAAATTCTTTATCCGTATTGGAATTTTACTTTTGACTCTGACCGTCCCGTTTGTGTTTGTTTTGCTGCTGCATTTGCCGACTAACTCTACCTACTCTGAGAACCTCGCGGTTGCTGCTGTACTTTGTCTGGCTCTTTCCATCACCCAAGAAGATTGGATATCACACACTCTTCCATACTTACAGCATTAGGCAGTTCCCGTCACACACCTTCTCTCCCACACCCGCATACATATCTACCTGAGGTACCTTATCCATACATACTTACCTTACACTTATTCCCCTCCCCCTCCGCTCCCAGACTTATCAATCCTACCGAATCCACGGTTACGCCTCTTCTTCACCCTCTTTCCTCGCACATCCATCCCTCCCACTGGCTACACTCCTCTGGTCGAACTGCATGCACTCTGCTTCGGCCTGTCTTCCTGTTCGCCCATCATCATCACCAGTCACTTGGCCCAGGACCAGCA